ACATACCATAGCAACCAAAGCCCTCCATGATACCTTCTCTCTTAGCCCTCCCGACCTTTTCACCATCCAGTCAGATATCCCTCCCTACTTTATATTCCCTTCTCCAGGGTTTGCCAACACTCTGGATTGGGGTAAAGCCCTTCTGGTGTGTTTCCACGGCCCTCTATCCTTGTTCCTTTAATGGTGAGCATTAGACTGCAACCTCCCTGAGCTGCAAAGCAAATCATGTTAACTTCAGCACAGTGTCTGGCTAACAATAAAGCCTCACTAAATGTCTACAGAAAGTACGAACGTGTCCAGCAAGTTTGTGCCTGTTTTATAGGACTCTGCTGACCCTGCCTAAGACGCAGCACAAATATGTGAAGTGGGCAGCAGGTGTCAAGAGTCAAGTGAACAGAAGTTTATTTCTTGCTCTGCCATTAACTAAACAAATGCTTTAGAGGAGAACAGTAAAATTAAAATTTTAAAAGTCCCCCAAACTAGGACAAAGAATAATTTATATTTTGTATTATTTTAATAATTTATCATTTTTCATAACATACTATTATTATTCATATGTATAATTTCTTGACCAAGATCTAACTTACACAAAATATGAAAATGACAATTTATGTACTTCCACATTATTTTCACTTTAAAAACACAAAAAGTTACTTATGCAGCTTATCATGGAATATAGGGAAGTATTCAATATCTGAAAGGTCTATATTCAAGTGCCCTGTAAGCTACTTATTAGCTGTATGATTTGGAAGAGGTTCCCTAGATGGCTGAATGTATCTCCCATTGTACCTGGCACAGAGTAGGTACTGAATTATTCCCCTCACTTGTGGTTTTAAAGAAATCTGAGAATACAGAGGTTCATTAAGACACAATGTTTCCTTTTGCTTTTGAAATAAAAGGGAGACATTAATTTGATTCAGTTTCACTTGTATAAAACAGCTTTTTAAAAAAAGATTTATTTGAGAGAGAGCGAGCGCATGTGTGTGTGTGGCGGGGGGCAGAGGGAGAGGTAGAGAGAGAATCTTAAGCAGGCTCCACACCCAGCACAGAGCCTGACGCCAGGCTCCCTTTCATGACCTTGAGATCATGACCTGATCGAAAATCAAACTGGATGCTTAACTGACTAAGCTACCCAGGTGCCCCCAAACAGCCTTTTTTAGCAATAGGTAATTCTTTCGTTATAATAATTAACATTACTTTTAAAGAAATGTAATTTTATATCACTGATATGCAGACCTTTTCTCTTTGGCATCTTTTAAAGAAAAGAAACTTATATTTTAAAATATTAAACACATAAAAAACAACCAGCAACTATAATGCCCCAATGAATCCTGAAAATTTATTATGTGGGAGAATATCAGATACTGATCCTTTGTTTTACAGCTCATGATAATAATCAGAAAATATACATTTTGAAATGAAAGTCAAAAAAAGAATAATTACATATAATACATATTACAGTTATTTTATTGGTACATAAGCAAAGCAGTACTAAAAGCATATTTATGTGTCCACAGTAGTGAACATGGCAATTTTCTGTTTAAAGCTGCAGCAACTCAAATCCTCCTTGGGTCAATAAAGACAGACTGGAAACATATTTAGGGCTATCACCATGTCTGGCTGTAAACCTATTTTTTAAATCTTTCCCTCCCCCCATATATATATGTATATACTTTATTGCCTTTCTATTTCTGCTGGTTTAATATAATTAGTATACTAAATAGTTATCTGCATTTATTTGGTTTCTAAAAATATATAAAATGCATTGGAATAGAGCTCCTGCAGCTTTCAAGCAGTCAGTGTCCTGGCATCGAAAGCTTATTCTGGAAATGTAAAGCAGCAATACTGAATAAATAGTGATTGTTTTCTCTTCTCCACACAGCTGCTGGCCTTCACCCAAAACCTAAAAACACTGTAGCAAATAGTATAAACATGCAAAAAATGGACATAATATAAAAGTAATACTTATGAGCTAAATTTTAATACAATATAGATTAATAAAGACAACCTCATGTAGAAGAGGGATGGGAACACAGCATTGTTCTATACATATAAATTAAGGCCCAATTTTTCAAAGGCAATGCACACAGGGAAATGCCCATCTGCCCACATCCTTTGCACACCCGAAATCAAGAGTTTTTGCCTTTTCCGTATCATTTCCTCAATCCATTATTATAGTTCTAACTTGGAGAGATGTTCACAGAAATGGCTTTAACTGATGTTTCTTTACTCAAAAGACCATTTTTCTCTTATTCACAAAGAAAATGTCCTTTTAATGCAGGTACAAAATTTACTTATGCTCTGGAAGCAAGTGCTTTATTTGTTTTTCTTAAACACTATTAATCACATTTCACACCATAAATTCTGTATTTTTGCTGTTTTAGCTCGAGTTTATGATTAATTTGAACTATAGGAATTGATGATTACTTCAGAGATGACTGAGGGAATTAAATGGGTAATTCCTATCAATACCAACCAAAGTCTCATATATAAATTCTCTGTGCATCAGGACAAAAAGCATGCTAATAAACCAAAATATCTCATAAAAAAAAAAACACAAAAAACAGGACTGAGGCAACCCACTATGGATCCTCCTCTGAGGATGCTAGACACTCAAAAGGGTCAAATATACCAATGCTATTTCAAATTACTCCTTGGTAAGAAAAAAAAATTATCTTCTAATTTATTTAATACTTATAGGAAATCATAATGAAACAACTTGCAGTATAATAGTAATAAAAAGCCCCTTATGATCTAGCTTAGTATTTAGAACCTGAATATTCCCCCAGATGCAAAATTTTATATTTGGTATTTTTGTATATCATTACCTGCTGTCCCCCTCCCCATCCCCCTGAAATGTATCCAAAAGATGTGGCACTTAATCTAACTCCTCTGTGTTCACAATAGATACAAATGACCAGGAATAGACTATATTATTTTTAAGATGTTCTAGGAGAAATGAGTTTTCTTTCTTCTATTTTAAAAAGACTTAGAAAATATTTCTTAGAGATGTTCTTTCAGAAGTAATATAACTGATTAAAAAGTATAGCTGCTCAATATATTTATCAAATTCACATTTATATATTCTTCTCATCTAGGAAATAGTATTTCTATCCATAATCAGGTCCATAAAGATTATTTGGCATGTGAAAATGCAGATGAAGTTGTCACAATGCTGCCAGTCTTAAAGTTATTAGGTTAATGCTGATAATAATTTACAATTAAGTTGGACATTGACTTTGTGTTTTTGATGGCATACCAAGCATCTCTGCAATTAAAAACTGCAACGTTTATTATATCCTCAGTTTAACATTTTGATTTAAATAGAATGTGATCAATTTATAAAAATGTTTTTCTTTGTGAATAAGATCTTAATTTCTCTGAACAACAATAACAAAATGACTCTTGGTATATGATGGAACCCTTTAAAAATAAGGCTTATATTGGGCATACATAAATCATTACTGTCACAAAATCTACAAAGTATCTTGATTTTTTTAATTTTAATTTTTAAATATGTATAGATATGAAATAACTATTATAAATTGAGAACAAATGTGTATAGGTTGGGGTTATGTAGGTAAGAATAAATTATTTCTCAAGTTATTTGCAAAATAGTATAATGGCAAGGTCAACTTGATAACTCCAAGAACCCAAAGAAAATAATACCTTTAGTTGAGGTCTGCCATTTAGCTGGACTAGAAAAGGCAACTCTGCATTATTACTTTCAGTTCTCTAGAAGCTTCTATATAATATTTTCATAGCCATTCTTAAAATTTTTCATTTGAAACCTAAATGTAGCATTCTCAGCATTCATTTAAACCAAAATAAGTCAAATGTGTTATAACATCCAAAGTTGCCTTCATGCATAAGATATAACTTACATCTTTTTATTGTTACCATGGCATTAATATACTAATCCACTTTTACTTTGTTGCATGTAAGTAATACAGAGAATATATTTTCCTCAGAATTAAAAACTACTTTAAATTTCAGGTTAAAGTCTTAATTATATTGTACCAAATTTTGATCAGAGGGAATGTAAAAATGGCAAAATGGTATCTGACCACATCCATCCAGATACTACTTGTGACTTTTTGGTTTTATAAATAAATAAGAAAATATATGTACAATTGGGAGACTCATCTCATGTCCTGTAAAAGCCAAGCTCAAGAATGAAAAAACAAAAAACAAAAAAAAACCAACCAAAAAGCGAATTTAACTTTATTTCCTTTGTAAAAAATACCTAAACTCCAATGTACTTTCTATCTAAGTGACTGGAGAAATAGCAAAATCCATAAAGTACAGATTAAATTATGTGCAAGCTATAACTTACCCATGGGTGCTTACACCAACAGACTATACATATGAAATGGGTTATTTTAAAAATATATCACTTAAAGTAACCTCTCTGAAGTAGATCAACCAGTTATCTCTAACTTATGTGTTATGGCAACTCTGAGGATCCATGAGATTTAAATGATTAAGGCAGGGCAGAAACAAAACACATAATGTATCAGGAAACCCCATGCCTGTTTGGACAGATATTCAACAATTACATTTTTTGTTTACAGTGCCCAAAGTTCTGCAGATCTTCTAAACATACAATTTACACCTTGTGAAAATACTTCTCTTCTGGTATATGGTCATTCATATACTGGAAATATTGTAAAGCAAAGATCCAAGTCCAGATACTAAAACTGGAATTATTTCATCTAATGAAGCAATGGCTAGGACAGGTACACAAAATAAATACAAGTGGGTTCCTTTGGAGTTAGTTTTGATGGTGGAGCACCCTATGACACTTGTATAGTTGTAGATCAGCAATGTACAAATGTAGTCTAGCAACATGCACACACAGTCATAATGTAATTAATACATAATGTATTTCACACAATATATAATGTAATTCAGTCACAGGATAAGTATTAATAAAAATATTAAAACATCAACATTCACCCATTAATCGATTATATGGAATAAATTAAGCCAGTCACATATTTCTCTTTGCTCTTAAGTCATGGTTTTATTTACGTATACACACAGTATAATACTTTCCTAACGCTCTCAAAATGCTACAAATAAAAAATGAAGGCTTTGCATTACAGCTGCTGGACAAACATGTCAACACTGTCGATGTGTGAAAACACAGTTTCTTTGTTCTTTAGCATCAGTGCACAGGGTATGGCTCCAAGTGGTATGCAATTTAGGACAGAAAAAAGAGACGGTGGCTTGTGAAATAGATCCTCTGTTCATCATTGGCACAAATCAAAGAAGGAATTTTTACTGTCCTTGGTACCTTTATTGGGTCTCTCCCCTAAAGACAGATAATGTTATACATAGATGCCTTCAGGATTAAAACCAGATGAGATAGGATTCTGTAGAATACGAAGATTACTGGGGAGCTGCCGAGATGAACCAGGCCGCTTCAGGGACCCGGACTGGAATGGTGCCTCTACACAGAAAACAAAGAAAGTCATTTGGTGTATTCAGCAACTCAACGTAGTCAGCAACATGAAAAACTAGAACTTTTCCTGCCCTCAAGAGCCAAAGAGCAAACTGTAAAATTGCAGTCCCCTGTGGGGCCTGGGGTAAGAAGAGAAGGCTAACTCTTCTTGACCCTCTCCATTGATAAAAACAGTTTTCAGTGATTTCAACATCTTTTTAAAAAGGTGAGCATTTTGCTTCTCTTTCTTGGTTGTTCAGATGATACACATCTTTTAAATATCAGCACAAATTAATAATAAAGACTCTTAGGAGAGGAAGAAGGGGCATTAGAAACGCTAATAAAAATCAACAGATGACAGACTCAAACATAAGGAAAAGGTTTCTTAAAGAAGCAGTTTAAAACAAATGATACAAGATTTGGGGATTACCTCCCACATACGTAAATCAACAATCTAGATAATATTGATTTTCCCCAGAAGCAGGAAGTACGTCAATTTTTTTTTTTTAAGTAGTCCAAGCTTTGAAGAGTAGGCTAATATTTTAGCTCAATACAAGTAGTTTCTTCAAAGTTAACCTGTGAGAATAAAGTAAAGCGAGCAGATTTCTCAACACCTTACCCCTTTCTAGGTCTGCGTGTGAGGCCTCTACTTCAATGGGCTCTGCTGGCAAAACGGTAACTTTTGTCCCTGTCTGTTGGATAAACTGCTGGAGATTGACTTGCCGCAGCTCTTTAGTTAACTGCTCCAGTTCTTGTTCTTTGTCCTAGATGGGAGTTAAAATTTGTCTTTTTATTTGAAGATTCACTCTTGGCCAGCTAAAGACATCCCGGTGAGAGTCCATCTGCTACAGGGGCTGGATGTGCGATACGCGCTTTCTCAAGAATGCCTTTAACAAACCTGGTTAATGTTGATACAATGGGCTAAAAAAGAGATCATTTTTGCTCTGGGGAACAGGCCAAAAAATAAGCAAATAAAGGACAACAGCTTCTTCAGTCCATCCTCTTAAATGTGATGCCTTCCTCTGTTAGGAAAACACTATGCACCTGATGAAATAAATCTGTCTCTATAAACTTTTATCAGTAAAATACTAGTTTTCATCCATCCCAGTGTTTACAGCAATCTTGCTATAAGCTATTCACAATTAAATTTCCCTATTGACTTCATAACTGACTGCAAAATCAATAGACACTTGGTCCATGAGATTCAGAGAAGTTCTTGTTTTTGATAAACTGTTTTCATGCGATTCATTATTGAGCTATACATTAGAGCATGAGGAAAGCAAGATTCCCACAAGATTTTCACTTTGGGGTTCTTAAGTCCTTGGCAAAGATAGGTCTGAGAACTGAAGATCCTTAAAGAAAGGAGATCAAGTTCGGATAGCTAGAAAGCTCAAAAAGCAAGGAGAGGTATTCCATGATTTGAATGGATGTTCTTTCTCTCCCTTACTGCACTATAGGAAAAAGTGGCAAGGCCTCACCCAGGCTGAGTGTGCCTGAAGACTGGCAGTGGTAGGAAGAGATACCAGAAATGAGTGGTTGTTTCCTCCACTTACTGTGCGTGTAGCAGGCACTTGGAGATATGTTAGTTTGATTATGAGATCCTTTCCAAAGGGTAGGGAAATTTACTGGCAATGACTGTCATAAATTAGCATTTCCTGTAAACAATATCAAAGGCCACACAACTTCCAACTGTATCCTTTTTAAGGGTCAAAATGAATCCAAATAGCATAATACTGACAAATCAGAGGTTAACAACCTTGTACTGCATGAGAAATTCTTGATTTTCAAAATTTTGGTGGTAGTTTTACCTCTTGACTATAGTTTGTGGCAGAGAATGGAAATCACATAAGTGATTCTTGAAACCTCAGCTTTCTCTGCTTATAAAACTGTTCATGTTCTAAAGTAGCTCTGCTCAAACTTCCATGTGCACCGGAACTATCTGGAGATCTTATTACAATAGAGATTCTGAATTTTTTTTTTTTATAAAGATTTTTATTTATTTATTTGAGAGAGAGAATGAGAGACAGAGAGCATGAGAGGGAGGAGGGTGAGAAGGAGAAGCAGACTCCCTGCTGAGCAGGGAGCCCGATGTGGGACTCGATCCCGGGACTCCAGGATCATGACCTGAGCCGAACGCAGTCGCTTAACCAACTGAGCCACCCAGGAGCCCCGAGATTCTGAATTTTTAACAAGTGTGCCCTGAACTACATGGATCACTCTTTGAATAGCAAGTCACCAACCAGCACTGACCAATACAGCGACCACTGTCGAGCACTTGAAATGTGGCCAAATGTAACCAAACCCAGAAGTGTACATTTATTTAATATTTTAAAATTTATTTAATATTAATATTTAATACTTTAAATATTATTTACATTTAGTATATTAAAATATTATTTCTATTTAATACCTCTTTGCAACTCCCCTAACATCAGCACATTTTCTTCTTGAGAATGGGTATCCGAGAAATGTAAGTTGAGTGATCAGGATCTCATGGCAAAATATAAAAGTTCCTGTATTGGAACCCGAGAAGGGAAAATCAGAGAGGAACCTCCGTGCCCCTTTCCTCAGGAAAGCAAAGGAAAGTAAGTAATGTGGAGAAAAGAAGGGGACTATTTACATCTCAGAAAAAGATGGGGTGAGCAACAATGGAGAAGTAATCGATAAGCAGTCAACTAGCCACACAATCCTTGGTAGACCCATCTGTGGTAATCTCTTTTGGCTTTGGTTTCCTTCTCTCTAAAGGAGAGGAGGTCAGATTCATTATCTCATCATTAGTGTCCATTCCAGCTCTGAGATTCTATTCTCTGTATCCAATAATGTTCCAACTGCCACAGTAAGACACCTCTTTCTGTGGAGCAAGGATCAGTGAGGCTTTAGCTCTCATCTTTGTTTTGGTCTCACATTTTAGCTTTGTCATAAGTCACAGAAATTCTAAGAAACTTATAAACCAAGGTAGGTTTCTAACTTTAAATGTAAGAGAAAATGGACAGTCATTAAAGAAAATGCCAAGAATATATTAATTCTTTTAAACAGATGAAGCATTTCTTTTTATAGAAATGTTCTTACCTGTAATCGTTTGGTGGCTTGTCCGAGAGATCTTTCTACAGCTTTAATGCCATTTTCCAGCCTCACACTCTGTTGGCCTTGAATGTCAATTTCTCCTTTGACCTTACCAATCTTTCCTTTAACCTCTTCTTCATTGACTTGTGCCTCCTGAACTTCCCGTTGTAATTTTTCTGCTTCAAGACCGCTTTCCATAGTCTGAATCTGAGCCAAATAGTCTTTTAATTTGCTCTCGCATTCTGTTATTTTCTGTCTTATTTCTTGAAGTTGATCCTTCAGCTGTTTTTCATTTTCCTGTTCAATCTGCAACTCATTTTCCCAAAATTCTTCCTCTTCAATTTCGACATCATTTCTTTTGATCTTTTGCTCCAGGCGGACAATTTCCTCTTCAAGGTTAGAATTATATTTTTGCTCCCAAAATTGTATTTCTATTTCATTTGATTCTAGCTCTTTCTCAATGGATTGAAGCTTCTCTGTCTGCAAACGGATCAGCTTCTTTAATTCATCTGCTGTTGTTTTGCAGTTATTCAGCACCTTTTGCTTAAATTCAGTCTCTTTACCCTTTCCAAAAATGTCCATTAATCCTTTGGCACCTCCTGTAAATGTTAATGATTTCCTTTTAGGTTCTCTCCTTTTGATTGATTTGTCAATCTGAGGCCTCAGTTTAGCCAGGGGGGGCAAACTCTGCCTATATAAAGTCCTCTCCGGAATTCGAGCCACACTGTCTGAAGTGGGTCGCTCACTAAGAGATGGCCCCGTTCGACGTAAAATTAGCTGTACATCACTAGCATACTGCCCCCATTTGTTTAAGGATATGATAGGATTTTCATGAGGTGCTAAGTGTCTTTCAGTATCTCTCCATTTTTCTATAAGAGTGTACCTTCCGGTTCGACCTAGATAAAAAAGATAAGAATAAACTGTTAAAGTGGAATATGCAATAGTTAAAATAATGCAACAGAGGACACTATTTGATAACTGTGTTGTCTTGATTAGCATCCAAGTCCAGTCCATACTGCCTTTAAAACTCTTGAAGACAAAAAAACCAAAACCAAAACCAAACCAAACCAAACCAAACCAAACAAATTCTCTTGAAGATATGTTAACAGCATAAAATTATGGGATGTGAATTACATATACCCTTCTGACTTGCTTAGAAATTCAACTATATACTTTAAACCTCAGTGAGACTCATATTCTTGTCAAATGCCTGATTGCCTAGACTTGTTTGGGGCAAGACCTCCAGCTGAAACAAAGGATGACACCAGAATGCCCCACTGGAAGTCATGAGGACCGGTCCCAGAGCTGGGTAGTACTTCAAAACTTGAATAAATTTCCACTTTGTGAATCCCTCTGCTTTCTCTGCACATTAGAACATGAGAAGGTTGGAGGCCCCATTTTCCTCCTGAAGGGAGGTATGGAGACAGTGGACAACCTGCTACTCAGCTCACAGGGGGTTGTAAGGTCTTTTCTCTGTCTCTGCATGAGGGTTTGGCCAACTCATAGCTCGCACTGCTGCTATCTTTCTGCACACCCTAGGCAAAAAAAAAAAAAAAAAAATCACCTCAGTGAAAATGACTCTTCAAAATAATTTTGTATAAAAATAGGGGCCTGAAGAAAGGTCTTCTACAGTTTTGGTACTTGTAACTTCAAAGATTCTTGTTAAAAAAAATTTAAAAGGCAAAAATATTAAAAAACAAAAACAATAAAATCTTATTTAAGTAAAAGTTATACTGAACTTAACTGGTAATTACAGAAAATCAAGCTTCAGAAGACATTATAGTATCATTAACTTGAACACACTTCCTAAATACTTCTATTTACGGTGGGTGGGTCAGATTGATTATATTTTGTTAGAAGTGTCCCCTGGACACCTGAAACTAATATAAATGTTACATGTCGATTATATCTCAATAAAAAAGTATCCGTTACTCCTTAACATTATTACAGGAAGAAAATACTGATCCTGTCGTCTTGCAATTATAACACTGGTATATACAGCTATTGATTTATCCTGTTTTTTAATTTCATGAGCTTCTGAACCAAGAGCAGTTATTTTCTCAGTTATTATGGAGGTCAATAAATGGAGGTCTGGATACATATATATGTGAATATCCATGTATGCAATATGGAAGTAGTACATTAAGAGTGATATTGCTCTAAACATATACATATTTTCTCCTATGGAAACTGAATCTTGGGTACAGCTGAAAAGTTGCAGCTTGCAAGGCAAACAGAGTGGAGTTTTAATCCTGAGTTTTAATTACCTACTGGATAAATAGCGTACACCTCACAGGTCCTGAGAGTCAGAGTCAGGCATAATAAGCACCCACCACATCGCCTAGCCCAGGGCAGGTGTTCAATCAATACACGGTAGCCATTACTAATTTAAAACCCCATTATTCACGTAAAAAAAGGGCTGATCAGAGACCTCTTAAAAATGACGTGACGTGACAATAAGGTGGCTTAAAAAAAAATCCTTAAACAATTTTTAGCAACTCCCAGCAACATAAAGCTGGAAAGAGCAAAGGCTCTGCAGTTGGAAGGCCTGTGTTCAAATTTGGCTTGGCCAGCTATTCAAATGATTTGCGCAATTTATTAAATTTCTTTTGGCTTCAGTTTCCTTATCTATAGGGTGAGAATAATATTTTCTTACTGACAATGTTGTTGCGAGAGTCAAGTGAGATGTAAAATATAAAACTGTTTTCTAAAATTGAGCAGTTCTATACAAATGTTAGTTGTTACTATTGCCAAAATATCTGGGTAAACGAGGGGAATGAAGAAGAAATCCTTAATACAGTGGATTGGCTTCTTGGAATAAAACATGTTTCTAGTGATTTTCAGGTTAAAAATTACTGTAATTACTCCAAGAAAAACCACATGATAAATCTGCAAGGTTAAAACTGTTCCATCTGTACACATTGCTTCAAAGATCACAGCACTTTGTGTTCTTGGCTTTGCTGCCTATCAACTACTTTTAGAATCTCACTCTTCTCTGGAGCTCTGTGTCCTCATCAGTAATGTGAGGGGTTAGAATAGATCAGCAGAGCCCTCTCTAATTGTCTACCAGGCCAATGAAGCATCTTGAAAAAGAAAATGGAATCATCACATTAGACAAGTTATATTAAGAATTTTAAAGACCCTAATTTAGAGCCATAATTAGGATTTTTTTCCCAGTGCTTAATGGTACCGCTGCCCTATGAGAATGTCTTACTAGAAGATTATTTAGAATTGCTTTTACTGCCAGTTTTCCCTTTTTGTTAAATAACACGTATTTATAAATGTGCAATTAGGCAAAAAGAAAAAAAATCCTGTCCAGCAATATAAAAAAGCTTTTATAAAAACTAATGATGTACTGTATGGTGACTAACATAACATAATAAAATTAAATTAAAAGAGGTAAATGAATTAATAGCTTTGATTTTATTATAAAAATTAGGTTTTAGATAGGTTATGTAAAAGTTAAGTCCCATAATCATTATCTTTAATACCATATTTGGTAAGGCCCTAAAGATCCTATTTCATTTGGAAAGATTCAAATTCTTCTTGCAAAACTCCTTTCAATGTATTTTATTAAATGGATACATTTAATTGTACTTTGCACACTATCTTGATGTACCCCTAAACCTAATAAAAAGGAATACCTATCTACCTACCTGCCTACCTACCTACCTACCTATCTGTAGCATTTGTAGTTTAGGCTGTTTTGGCTATCTAGAAATGCATGTCACAATAAGTCATGGTAAAGAAATAAAATACTGACTATACTTTTGAATAGTTGAAGCAATTGAGTGTAATCCCAAGGATCATTAACTTCATATAATAAGGAAAATCACATAAAGAGACTTTAATGCATTAGTGGAATCTCATTGGATGACTGACATAAATTAAAAGGAAATAGGATAACAGATTACTCTCATTTAATTTAAAGCAGAATAGTATGTATAACTGTGAAGTAATATGAAGTTTCTGAAAATATACACCCAAACTCAAATATTCAAATATGGGTCACCCAAAAACATTATGCCCTTATTTCAATCTCTCTTTCAATGGTGCAACCATTTTTTTTTTTACAATTTTAGGAAATTTCTTAGAGCCAAAGAACAAAATCATGATTTAAAAGTCACATCTTAGAGCTACCATATGACCTAGCAATTGCACTGCTGGGTATTTACCCCAAAGATACAAATGTAGGGATCTGAAGGGGTACATGCACCTCGATGTTTATAGCAGCAATGTCCACAACAGCCAAACCACGGAAAGAGCCAAGAAGTCCATCAACAGATGAATGGATAAAGATGTGGTATATATATACAATGGAATATTATGCAGCCATCGAAAGGAATGAAATCTTGCCATTTGCAACGATGTGGATGGAACTGGAGGGTATTACGCTGAGCGAAATAAGTCAATCAGAGAAAGACATGTATCATATGCTCTCACTGATATGAGGAATTCTTAATCTCAGGAAACAAACTGAGGGTTGCTGGAGTGGGGGGGGTGGGGGGGATGGGGTGGCTGGGTGACAGACATTGGGGAGGGTATGTGCAATGGTGAGCGCTGTGAATTGTGTAAGACTATTGACTCACAGAACTGTACCTCTGAAACAAATAATACATTATATGTTAAAAAAAAAAAGAAGATTGCAGGAAGGGAAAAATGAAGGGGGGGAAATCGGAGGGGGAGACGAACCATGAGAGACTATAGACTCTGAGAAACAAACTGAGGGTGTTAGGGGGAGGGGGGTGGGGGGATGGGTTAGCCTGGTGATGGGTATTAAAGAGGGCACGTTCTGCATGGAGCACTGGGTGTTATACACAAACAATGAATCATGGAACACTACACCAAAAACTAATGATGTAATGTATGGTGATTAACATAATAAAATAAAAAAAATAAAAGTCACATCTTGTTATTTATTCAACAAATATATATTAAACACCAAATATCTGTCAGAAATAGCGTCAGGCCCTGGGGATTCTATTAAACACCTTGATCATCAACCCTCTTTATAAGATTTAGTTTTAACTGACATTTGGTTTTTTCTTCAGTTTCAAATCCTTCTTATCCCAAAGATGAACACTGTACATTATTCAAAAGAACACGACCGGGGCGCCTGGGTGGCTCAGTCATTAAGTGTCTGCCTTCGGCTCAGTCAGGTCATGATCCCAGGGTCCTGGGATCGAGCCCCGCATCGGGCTCCCTGCTCCGTGGGAAGTCTGCTTCTCCCTCTCCCACTCCCCCTGCTCTCTCACTGTGCTCTCTTTGTCAAATAAATAAATAAAATCTTTAAAAAAAAACAACAGAAGAACATGACAGAGTTGGCATTAATCTCTTACGAATTTAATGCTAACATAGCCTCCTGTTTCTGTACATAATTAGAAGAAATGTCAGTAACGGCTTATTCTTAAAAAAAAAAAATCTATCCAACCCCACTGAGCTTTTCTGGTAACAGATACTTTGCTCCTTGAAAAAAAAAAACATTTTGGATTCTTATATAGACTCTAATGAACATAACTAACCCTTCTCATAAAAAAAAAGAATTCTTACCAGGAATATTGAAATTACACTGTATCATTTTATAGTCTGTTAAAAAAAAATGATGTTTACATATATGTATGTATATAAAAATAAAAAATATATAAAATATAAAAAAAAAAATAATATATATGTAATCCTAATTGGTTTTATGAGGTAAGCAGTATAGATATAAAAAAAAACAACTTACCAGTGAAGAAATCAAAGCTTAAAGAATTTAAAGCAATCTTCCAAAAAAAAAAAACTATCCTGCAAATTTATCAATGAATTTTCTACAAGTCCTGAGTGTAGCTATTAAGATAACTTTACCCATGGAGTGTTTATTTCATGCTGACAGTGATATAATGTAAATATCTCT